GAAATGGGGTTTAGCATCCTACTGTTCTGCTCGGACTGGGCTAATGAAGACAGGCATACGGCATACAGAGTGCTATGAGGGCAATTTTGCCCGGACAACGGCGCTATGCCCTACTCTTATATCGAAATCCAACTGGCAAGGGATCTTTTATGTACACTCCAATGTGTACACCGGACGTCGGTTTTTCGTCACATCCGAACGACTAGACAGTTTTCCTTGTCAGGCCCTCCGTCCTGCACCACTGACAGGAGGAAACCACACCGGAAAATCCCGAGGAACTTTCTCGCCCAACATCGGGAGCGAGTCAGCGTCTTACTCACTCAGAGAAAAGCTAGCACTGGCCGTTTTATTTCAGATCTGTGTCAAGGAAGGTAATTGAGTGTAAGAATAACACGAAGCGTATCTTCCACGATAATTACATTCTTAGATGTGCACTTTATTCTGTACAAGATGACTCTTCTGACATCGTCATAATATTATCCCACATAAAGACAAGCATACTTCAATATAAATTTTATTTGATTATTCCAGGACTTTCTCAACTGAAGACCATTTTTACCATAATGAAATCTATTACACATCAAATTTGTAAGAGTAAAATAAATACAAAGTGCGACATGGAGGCGGCGAACGAATACGGGAAATCGTTGAGGTATCATATAAAGACTCTCTGATTTAATGAATACAAATTTAAAGAAGTCATTTTTAATTAATTTCAGATTAAATCACCCCCGTACTCGTGGTAACAATATTATTGATTTCCCACGTAGAAATACAGCCATTTAAAAGTGTTGTCGAAAAAAGACTCTTCTTAATCTGATACCGTAGGCGAGAGAGAGAGAGAGAGAGGGGGAGAGAGAGAGGGAGAGAGAGAGACTGGGAGGTTAATTTGAGGCAAACATATGGTTTAATTTTATTTCAACAAATCGCGTTGGCGTCGGGGAAATAGGGTGACCAGGAGAAAACCCACGAGGATTGAAAGGCGATACTATTCCTTGTCACGTACAAGCGGGGAATCGAAACCAAACCACATGACTCAATAACAAACACTGTGATCTAACGCGTACGTGTTGAACCATTCGGCAACCAGACCCCCATATGTAGAAATAACATTTATGTTTTACTCATGGATATAATATAAATGAAAGGTTGTTATTCATCATTGATCCTTGCCTGATAAAGTTACCTGTAAGAGTATTAAAACGTTGCATGTAATAAACTAAGAAGTAGTAAATCCATAAAATTGTGTTATTATGAATAGTATACCTCTACTTCTAAATGTCATTTAACATTTATGAAGTTGGACGTGTTCAGTGTAGGGGTGGATGGAAGTGACGAATATACGTATAAATGGATTCAAATGAAATACTTACATGAAGCTCTATACGGATTCAAATGAAATACTTACATGAAGCTCTATATTTGCTCAAATTTAAAGATATATTATAAAGTTAAATCTGCAGGGGTTTTTTGGCTTCGAATGTTATATAAATTATTAATTGAGGTAGCTATTCACACCAACGCTCTAGCACATTGGGGGCCGCGATATTGAATAGATTTAACAGTATCGCCATTTGTAGAATTCAAAAATAGCCAATCGAGGTTTTGTTAGTAATTGTAACAATGGTACTTGACAAACGAGACCATAATGTCAAAACTTTTCAAAAAATTCATTTTTCATTTACTATTGTATCGGGTTTTGTTTTATGGCGGGGGGGGGGGGTATATTTATTTATTTTTATTTACATAAGATTCCACGTTTATTTCCAAATCACATCCATTGCTTCAGAAATGATTCCTAAATGCATATGTAAACACTGCTAAGCCTCACAAATTTGACTTTCTGTTCCTTGGGGTCTTGGTAAAAAAATAGCCGCTTGAATCGCGTGAAAGATATTTTGTTTAAAATTCCAAAACTTAAAAATTTGGTCTTTAAAGTGTCCGAAAGGCACATCCAAGTACTTTGGGTTTTTTTTTTTTTAAATTAGTCACTTTCCGAAAGAAAGAATAAATAATTTTGTTACAGGTTTTCCTGATGTTCTGAAAATAAGTTTGGCATGTTTAGTCAGTTTTTTAAGGTTTGCTCGGGTTATTTTAAACTAAAAATACAATTTACTTTAGAATGATGTTTTCCTAAAATTCATCAAAATGTTATCTCTGACAGTTTTATATCAATTTAAAAACACATCAGTTTTCATCATTTCATCATAGTTTTAAAAAATGTTGAAGTTTGGTGATAGATATTATCGGAATTTCCCCACACTTCTTCCCAGAATGTCTTTTTTTCTATAAATCTTTCTGATCAATATGGCCTACTGTAACATCTTTTATTTGGTTCGAGAAAATAAACAGTACTTTTCCCCTAAGGTTTGACTTTGATAGAAAGTTTTCTATCCCCAAGACACCATTGTTATTCCAAGCTCTCTATCAACAGTATGGTGGCTAATCGATGAAATATCGATAAGTTTTAAGACCACATGTTCCTAATAAAATAGCCAACCTATAAACACTGTTTGTCATTTAGTATTAACCTGTCTACAACTCGTCTCAATAGATATTAGAATAAAGTCGAATTACAGTCTTCCAATCAACTAAATCACCCTTTTAACAACTACATATAGCCGCTAGACGGCTTTACAACATGATTTATCCCCCTTTAAGAACTCTTCTCTTTGTTTTCATCCTGTCTATCAAACAGCACCTTGGGTGATCCTTTCTTTACACAGAGTAAGATTGGAATTGTTGGTAACTGAAGAGATCTTAAGGCCATAGTTCGTTTTCCCTAAAGGAAGTCTGGACATTCAGCTATACAGAATATTGGTCTAATATTTTGTTGATAGATTGATGGGCAATGCCGAGATTTGGTAACAATTATGGTTGATCCGTCTGATCTTAAGCACTATGCCCGTGTTGCTTTATTTGCAATTGGTTTCCTTTTGATATAAGATAACAATTACAAGACATCGTTGTGTATGACTCAATCTTAAAATGTGCTTCACAAATTATCGTCTGAAATTATTAAACAAAAGGAAGAGATCGTTATTGTTGCTTCTAAAGATTCGAAACACTAATTGCGTTCGAATCTAATTGGGTTGCCTAGACCAAAGTGTCTAACTCTATTGCCTGTTTGTTGAAGGGGTTGTGGTGGCTCAGTGAGTAAGACGTGGGCTCGCTAACCTGGAGGTCCAGTATTCGATCCCGATGTTCCTCAAGATTTTCCGGTGTAGTTTCCCTCTTCTTGTCAGTGGTGCAGGAATAACGGACTGGCAAAGGAAACGTATAGTCATTCGGCTGAGACACACAAAGCGAGGTCTTGTGTAAACATTGATGTGCACGTAAAAGAACCCGTGACAGTTGGAATTCGGTATAAGAGTCGGCCGTAGTCCCGCTATCCGAGCAAAATTTTCCCCATAGAAATCTTTTTGGCGTGTGACCGTCTTCATTAGCACAGTCGTGCAGAACAGTAAGACGTTAAATCCCATTTAGATCATGTAATTCGTGATGGCTGTCACGCAAGGGGCGAGATATGCTTATTCTTTATAGAACATCTTATGATGAGAAAGTAGCTTAGCCTATGTTTTGCATGCACACTAAAATGTGGGATATGGATAATTAAACATTCATTATGCAAGAGCTAATCTGCCCATTGCAGGTCTTTCTTAAAACCCGACATGTTATATAAACTATTATAAACCCGTAACGGTAAATCTCTTTGATCTTTGGGGTATATTCTATGCCCGGAATAACTTACGGCCTGAAAGGCGGGGGCGGCTTTGGATATATACAGGGAAATTTGGGGTTATTCTTCTGAAAGTTTTCTTTAAACCTGTACCGGGTTATTCTTGCAGGGTAGGGTTTTTTCCCATAAGAAAACATGATATAAGGTTTTTCTTACGGGAATTCTGGGATATTCTCATCTTGCGTACATGTATGTAAACAGACGGTTTATAAGCAAGATAAAGTCCTCGACTTCGGTTATGCTGGGGAAGAAAGACTTCAGAAAAAAACCCTCGACAGAAAAACCTCGGCCTACCGGCTTCGGTTTTTCGTTTTCTCGGGTTATTTTCTTCAGTCTTTCTTTCCCCAGCATAACCTCAGTCTCGTGCTTTATCCTACACTTAATTAGACTTTTATTAACATGACAAGATCATAATTAACTCTAGATGCCATCGGGTATATCCGATATTAAGTAGATTAGAACGGTTCAGCCATATTTTGACTTAATCTAAAAATGGTGAAGCGAAGCTAAGCTTCGAACAACCAGTGCGGTGGTTGAAATTATTGCATGCATCTTGTAAAACCTTCAACAGCTAATAATAGAGCAATTTGAGAGAAATTGTCAATAAATTCGTTTTGCATTATCTATTTTTGAGCTATTAAATGGCAAGAATGGCCAGCTCCTTATCCAAATCTTACATAATGTATCGTTAAGTATGTACAGTATTATGATTTTATGTTTTATGGTTATTGATTAATTAAAATCAATCTCGCACAAGATAAACCTACTATTCATTGGCTAGACGATAGGTCAGATCAAAAGTCGTTAGATCTATCGTTTTATCGTAGGACCTATCGTCGTATACATGCGGGGTCTAAATTTTATTGAACTGGATATGGGAAGCAAGAGTTGTTCCCCATTAACCAAGGACTTTCAAAAGAGAGTGAGAGGGAGAGAGTTTAACGCCCACTTGACCAAAACTAGGTCATTTCCGGACTAACTCGTGTTTCAATTTTATTTTAATAATTCGCTTGCGCGTGGGAGGAAACCGCGGGACCCACGAGGTTGGACGGGCGATCCTACTCCTTGTCACGTACAACCGGGGAATCGAAAGCACGCCAGCTGACTAAATGACTGACCTTATGATACCCCCCCCCCTCCCTAACCAGGACTTTCAAAGTCGTATACTTTTCGAGTACAGTGATAATAGATTATCATTAGATTTAGCTTTTATTTACGGCATTCATCTTATTTACACTTTAAATATAGATTAACTAATTAGATTTCCCCAGATTATAAATTTGGTTCTTGTTTCAGCGGACTCATCAATGTGAAAGTCGGGTAGTGTGTTTATTGGTCTCCACGGTAATGGTTTGTTGTTCTGGTAATGATAAACATGGATTGGGTGGACTGTCTTCTTCTTTGTTGTAAGGTTCTATACCAAAGCTGGATTTAGCAGTCAAATAAATATCAGATTTATTCGAAACGTTGCTAACTGTAAATAAAAGTAAGCTTATTACAATCCTCTGTCAACGTCGGAAACCTCAGCAATACAACGTCCAAATTGAAAAAAAGAGATTTCAAATGTTAATGTAATAGCAGGGCCACTTTTGCGTATTCTACCGGCACTGTCAAAGGATAGATGTCAGAAAGCAATGCAATATCACGAGCAACAATAACTAGTAAACACATCCGAGGCATCAGTACAGACATTTTTAACTTTAGATTGAAGACTTCTTGATTTCGAACGACGACGCGTGGCATGCCGCGTTGTCTTGATTTTGCATCATCGGAAGAATGATGGTGATCTTCTATAGACCATACCTAATTTATATCACCAAACGAAGACCTGCAATGTATTCAACATTTGTGCAACACGTTGGGTACAAACATTGACTCATGTGTAACTAACGAACGGAAGCTTTCATTTTAAGTGTGATAGTTATTTACACAATAAATATCACAGGACATCCTGTTAATGTGCTCGGAGATTTTGAACTCTGTGTGCCCTAGTTTAGTTTCGTATAATGAGTTTTGTTTATTTACCTTTATTTTTGACGGAACTGTGAATGTTTATGACATCCATGTATTCGCATTCTCTCTGTATCATGTGACGTATTCTATAACACAGTATGACTATAACCAGAAAACACAGCAATAACAGACAGCCAAATCCTATTAACGTATAAACCATCCAGGTGGTTGATCCTGTAGCTTTTTCGTCCGGTTCTCTGAAAAAAAAACCCTCATAAATTTATCAAATTTACAACAAAATAAAAATGCTTCTAGGAGTTAGAAAAGAAATGGGGGTTGGTGTCCTACTGCTCTGGACCAATCGGGTTATGAAAACGGGCTTACAACATTAATTGTGTAATGAGGGAAATTTGTCCCGACATCCATGTTTCCGCCTATATTAAACAGTCGTTATTTTGCGCGTGAACCTCTGTGGTTTGTTCCAGCCGAACTACGAGGCGCTATTTTCAGACCTGGCCCCTCGTCCTGCACCACTGAGAAGCAGGATAGCAGGAAGACCTCGATCTTCCGTCCCAACCGAACGACTATTCGGTTAATTTTTGTTAAAAGCTTTGTCCTGTGCCACATACAAGGAGAAACAAGCTGGAGAAGCGGGGTACTCAATCAGCCACCATGGCTGCGCTTAGACCAACAACAAGATTTCCTTAAATGAACATAGCGTGTGTTGACCAGTGTCATGCACAAATAGTATATTCTTAACAATGCTACTGTATAGTATAAACTATATGAACTCAATAATAAATGTGTCACTGTCACCCACGTACATGTCACTCGCCAGACGAAAATGAGTAATTAATCATTTAGCTTCATGGTTTGGAAGCAATAGCCAATATGACGGTGGTTGTGAAAGATTTTTTACTTACTTTGATCTGATACATTTACTGCATTCATAATCCGTCAGACAAAGTGACTTATACTTCTTTAATGGAAAATGTAGATATCCTTTGTTGAATTCCATTCCTTGTATTTTGGACCATGATCCAATCTTTAAAAAAATATCCAACCAAACATAATAATGTGCACATACAAAAGGGGTTCTGATATGTATTCCATACAATTGTCACCCTTATATAGTTTTGATGTTTAGATAAATACACTGTTAAAATTATATTAATGTTTACAGTTATAAGTATAGTATTTGTCAGATCACATGGTTTGTTAAATGTGTTTGGAATATATGTTTTCTTGTGACTAGTACATTTAAAATATGGGGTAATTACTATAGACATCACAAGGACAGCTGTCTAGTCCTTCGGATGAGACGAAAACCGAGGTCCCGTGTATACATTGGAATGCACGTAAAAGATCCCTTGGCAGTTGGAATTCGATATAAGAGTAGGCGATAGTGCCGCTGCCCGGGCAAAATTTCCCTCATAGCACACTGTATGGCGTATGCCCGTCTTCATTAGCCCAGGTTAGGAGCAGAACAGTAGGACGTTAAACCCCATTTCATTTCATTTCATTTCACTATAGACATCTGACTGACCTGTGTATACTGTGTCCTTCCAGACGAACTATCGGTGGTTATATGTAATATCTGATATTCCACAACCCCATCACCAGTATCATCAAAAACACGAGTTTTTGTCCCGTTACCATATAAATCTAATTTCACCTCCTATAAAAACACACATTACAGGTTTGTCAATTTTGTTTAAATATTATGCCGCTTTAATAATATGGGGAAGACGACACGCCTAAACAGTTGTAAGCGTGGTGCTTTTTTTGCACCAGTAGCAAAGTATTTACAATAAAAGAACGTTACTTCGTGTGTCCTGGAACGAGTAAGCAGACTCTGTATGAATAGGTTAAAAAGTCATATATTGATATACTTGTCAGGGACCTTGGGTGGTCGAGATCTCTAACGCTTATTCTTTAGAAAAAATCCGTCCCTGTACTAGGTGAGATGCAAGAGACCTTCGGCTATCTATAGGACGCCAGAGTCCAGAACATGATTTCAGAAGGCGCAGCTACCTGGTAGGTAGAGAAAAAATATGGGGTCAAATGATCAAGAGAACAAACGCCAAAAAAGGACAAATGCTGATTATTCAATGTTATTCATATTTGAGGTGAAATACAAAGAAATGACACTAACCGTTTTCATGTTTTTAGCTAGGAGGTGGGGATTTCTTGCAGCACAAGTTGTCTTGGAACTATTACAAATCTTCGATAATATAACTTGTTTTACTCCACTGACCAGGGCCTTTGTAGCAGCAACAGCAAATGGTATCCATGGATCATGTGGAGGTTGTGCAAGAATCGTTAGGTTGCATTCCCTTGTTTTTTCATTATTATCAAAATTTCCGGATCTTTGGAAACTTCCCGGAAATATACAATTCCCTCTTTTCTCCCAAAAATAGCGATGCCAGGGATTTGAAAGATCATTAATATTTTGTTCTGATAAGTAAGAGGTAAACTGTCGTACAGGTGGTAAGTCTAGTGAAATAGTTAAAGATCCGTGGAGTTTGGCTCTGTTCCGTTCCAGAAACATGGATTCCCGACCTCCCCATGTTTCTGATCCTATAAATATGAACTCATTTGTTTTCATTTTCTGAATCACTGATGCTATAACGGGCTGAATTAGATGAGATCTCACAAATGTTACTACTAGCTTGGCTTGAGGGATTTGTCTTAGATTTGCTAATAGTCCATTAAAGACAGTGTAGTCCTCAGTGACAGCAATTTCGTTAGGTATAATACAAACACCTTTAGTTTTACCAAGTTTTTGCAATGCTGAAAGACCCCCTTCCCCATATGACCCGTTCGTATAAAGAACCTGAATTATGGTTGATCCAAGGGAGGTAACTATATCCATTATTACTTGAGCTTGTTGGTCGTCTGCTGTGGGTATTCGCAGGAAGTACGGATATAACGTTTTGTCGCTGAGAAATGGGCTGGTCGAGGCGTAGGAGACTTGAACGTAACCAAGTTTAGTTAGAACTTCAGCTATAGCTGTACTCATACTGCTGCTCAACCCTCCAACATAGCCTAGTATTCTGTTATTAATCTCTGAGCTAGGGAACCCTGGCCTTAGTTTGTAAGTTCCTTTGTGAAGGCTAAACATTTTATCTTTAATTACTAATTCGGATTCACACCCATTTATCACTATTAAACCAACTGAACTGTTTTTACCAGTCAAAGAACTCAGCTCAATATTAATCTTATCAATGGCGAACTTAATACTTTCAGCGATATCGTTTCCTAAAGAATCTCTTATTTCTTTGCTACACGTAAATTGATTATCGTCTTTTCTTTGATAGATCGGCACAACCGCTACAACATACCAGTCACCTTTTACAAACAGAACACGATCCGGTAGATTCGAGGGAACACAAACTGAACAGATTGGATCTTCAGGACATCGAGCAGCTGAAGCTACATCATAAGGATTTGCATTTCCATCTAAAGGATAGCTGTGTACAGCGCTTCTGTTTAATTGCAACTTTTGGTCTTTGAAGCTGCCAACCTAAAATGGAAATATTATAAGTTTAATCTGGGCCGGTAGTAGAAAATGCGACTCCCAATCTGGGATGCCCAAAGTTACAGTATATGAATACAGTGCTGGATATGAATAACCTTAACTAGGCCTATATTCATTCATATTTAAGGACTGCTATGGTTTACTTGACAATTAGCAATTAATTAATATCTGGAAATGATCACACCTGGCAGAGCTGCTGCCCGATTGCATGGAAAATATTTAAGTTAGTGAACAGCTGGTCCCCTTTCTATTGCGGGGCCCAATTTGCGGAAATTAGTCAAATTGCCAAAAACGGACCTTGCATAAATGAGTGCAAAGTGATCTTTTTTTTATACCCCTTAGGACCATCAAAAGGATAAGATGTAGTAGGCTTCCGTTTAATTTCAACTTTTCGTCTTTGAAACTAAAATAGGAACCAGTCAAATTAATATGTGCACAAAGTGATCTTGTTTTGTACCTATCAGGATCATCATCAATATTTATTGAAGCCAGTGTCCAATTTAACTATACATTCACATGCCATATAATGCATTTCATCAAAGATAGGAGATGTGGTGGAGGGGTGCATTGGGGTAAAGCACCAATTTCTAACGTCAAAAATGGGTGATGTGGTGGAGGAATGCATATGATGAGCTGCATTGGGGTAAAGCACCAAGTACTAACGTCAAAGATGGATTATGTGGAGGAGGGATGCATGCTGATGAGCTGAATTGGAAGATAAAGCACCAATTACTAATGTCAATGTTAGGATAGTTCTTACCTTTATGAATCGGCAGTCTGCCAGTCCGTTGCATTGTTGATAATTATATACTTCGTATATTGTATCACTGGGTTCAGAGTTGTAGTCAATTTCTCGGTTGGATGTGAAAGTTATCTTCTTTGATGAGATGTTTTGGAACATTTGGAGCGTAAAGGGAAACGTTTCGGTAAGATTCATGTCCAATTCATCCATTTCATCGATATATCTCTGTTTGGGTAATTCTCGAAGCTGGGAACAAATTGTGTCGTTTGTACAAATTTCTGTGTGCAGTTTCTTATATAAATTAGCTAAAACTAAAACGGCTTTAATGGCGTAGCTCACATATACAGATTGTTCAAGATTCTCAAAATCCGATTTTTGGGTAATATTAAGCCATGAATGTGCGAACCCCGACGCTTGAATACCTTTCCAATAGTCATCGAATTCTTGTATGTGTATTTTGGGGATACTGGTAACTAGCGCCCCTTTCGCAATGGGAAAAGACTGTTTTTTTAATCTATGAAAATAAGTTGGAAGTAATTTGTTGGACCCAGAGACAATGAATTCTATATCTTGAACTATATCTACATCGTCAGGTCTTGTGAATTCTTCAAATAATTTCTTTATAAATTTGCCACTCCCAATGTATACAATGCCACCTATTTTGAAATCCAGAATTTCTTTAATAAAACTTGTGAAATTTTTAGTATAATGAACTTGAGTGAAGGGGTGAGAAACCGGAATGCAGACGCCTTTCTCATTGGCCATAGTTCTAAGAATTCGTGCCGTATCTCCACCATAATCGCCATCTTCATAAATTATTCCTACATAATTCCATTTCAATTCCAACATCAATTGTAGCATTACCTAAAAAAACCCATATTATCAATATTTTTGAGGGAATTTATAAGACACAATCACCCAGATTTGATACACGTGTAGAGCATAATGAGCTTTTGAGATGGACTGTACACATTCGTAATGTCACTGTTATTGCTAGTTTTAAATATAAAGAGATATTTATTTCAGTCGGAGCAGAACAGTAGGCCGTTAAACCCCGTTTTATTTCATTTCATATACATGTATATTTAAAGGTCATAGGATTGTTTATTGACGGAAAGTTACGACTACTCACGGAGAACGGCAGACATTACTAACGTTGAAATTTACCTGTTGCAGGTAATATTGACATTCGGGTTCGTGTTATGCATATGGAAAGAATATGTTGACATAATTACTTGCATTATTTAATAAAAAATTGAAGCTTTTCCGGTGACCTATAAAAATACTTTTACCCAGTGATCCTTTCATAAAGATTATACAGAGCTATTTTAATTTCTAATTACATGCGATTTTATTTAAATAACAATTTTTTATTTATATATCCTATCAAGTATGCATGCTTTGTTATCTCGTTTCATTATATAAATGTAACATTGTCTTGCTCTATTTATCTGTTTGTAAAGCTGACATGCGCATAATTTTGTGGCAGTTTAGCTCTATAGAAACCTGTAATAATGATAATAGTCATGACTTTTGCATTTTATTATGTGTAAAATGTATGGGAAATAAATATTGAATGAGGCAGCTTAACATGCAGCTTGGCGTGCTATTTCATTGTGATAGCCATGATGGTATAGATAAGTTAATAATAAAACGTCCTTGAATCTCCATGTGGTATATTAAGATCTAACAATGTGTATTCAATTGAATGTTATTTCTGGAAAAGATCTTAATGCAGTTATGTATGTGTTTACTTAAGTAGGTCAATGCGTTACAGTTCAACACTCTATATAATATCTGAATAATCATAACGCTCACAGCTGTATACCTATCTATACAGATAGTCACTCAAAGCATGAAAATACACCCACATAACAGCTATATCTGAAAGAAAATAACTATAGACAGCAGCCTATCCTCTACAAACCCAAATGGTTCACACCAAATTTGAAAATCGATAGGGTTCCCCTAATGCTTCACACCAAATTTGAAAATCGATAGGGTTCCCCTAATGCTTCATAGTATATTTGAAGATCGATAGAACCCATTGTTTTACAAAAAATGTGAAAAACTCCGTTAAAAACAGTATTTTATATTGCATTCACAAGATTTTGATTTTCAGAAAGGGGTGGGGTGAAAATTGACAGGGTTCGTGCCCTTATGATATACGAGTATTAATTCAAACGTGACGGAAATTACCGGATTTAATCAATAAATGCCTGTTGTTGGGTAATGGGCTCCAGTTTTGAAGTCTGCATATAAACACATTTAAATTATTATGAATATCTATTAAACTTGCCTCATGAGCATGATAGTTTCAGATGATTTTTTTAAAAAAAGAATTACCTGAACTTGAATGTCATCAGGTGGGATAATTCTGTAGACGTTTTTATAAATGGACTGGTCGGCAAGTTTAGATGATGTAGCACCGTAGCTCAACATTAATAGACGATCTTTCTCAGGAATAGAACTGAATACACGGGATATAGCCTTAGTTTCCGAGGAGTCTGTCGGACTTAACATTGCTAAAAAAATAAAATCAGTTTTCCTTTGATTTCATAATTACGCGAAATAATTCGGAAAGGGCGAAAAACATAGATCATGTGTTTGCATTGGTGTGTACCTAAAATATCTCTTGGCCGATGGAATTCGATATAAGAGTAGGTCGTAGTGCGGGTGTGCAAACACAATTTCCCTCGTAGTATGGCGTATCCCTGTCACATGAAAACGATACCCGTTTTGTAAAGTTGGATACTGGGTATGTTGCAGGGACGTAAAGGTGGCTTGAAGAACAAGCTGGTGGGTTTGTTTTTAGAAAACGAAAAACCAATAGGCTGTCTGTTCAGTAAAGTTGGATACTGGGTATGTTGCAGGGACGTAAAAGTGGCTTGAAGAACAAGCTGGTGGATTTGTTTTTAGAAAACGAAAAACCAATAGGCTGTCTGTTCAAGTCATTTCAAACATTACCGTTCATAAAACCCGACATAAAACCCATATCGGAGAAAGTATTCCATAACATGAAAGACAACTCTAAGCGACCACCACCACTGCCAGAGGCGCGTTTGTCCCTGCATAACGCCACTGTCAAATGCAATAGATTGTATTCTAAATCTAACATCACTACATACCAAACACCAGTGGGATCTGTGAAGTGTGTGAGTATTTCTGGGATAACTCTAAAGCCTTGGAGACGGCTATTTCCGGTATTCCGCATGTTTTAAAGGCATGGATACCTAAAAATGAGAGAATGGTCAATTTAGTGTTACAATTAAGCTTTCTTATTTATCAAACGTAATTGATATGTAAACATATATTCGTTGTGTCATATAATTCGACTTACCTATTTTGTGACCGCCATTAAGAAATGAGTTGTTATTCAGTTTTTGAATAATCCATCTCACGGCTTCAAATTCCTGTACAGAATATGGATCAACAATAGTGGAACAGCCATTGGATCCAGGAGGATAAACACTAAAAAATCCACCAATATATACACTAGCATCATCAGGATATCGGATCTCATCCAAAGACGTTACTTCCAGACACTGTAGAACCACTGTCAAAATTAATGTTATTTTCGCCATCTTTGACTACCAGGCATGTAACGTGTTCAAGGCTAAATAATAATGACACAATATTATAAGTTTATTCTGTAATACAAAGTGTGCACAAGAATACCCACAGGCCCGAAAGGAAATGAAATGAAATGGGGTTTAACGTCCCATTGTTCTCCCCCGACTGGGAAATGAAGACGGGCATACACGATGTAGTGTGCTATAAGGGAAATTTTGCCCGGGCAGCGGCACTATGGCCTACTCTTATATCAAATTCCAATGCCAATGTGTACAAAGGACCTCGGGTTTTCGTACCATACTAACGACTAGACAGCTGATCTTGTCAGACCCGCCGTCTGGAACCACGTCGGAAAATCCCGATAAACTTTCTCGGCCAATGTAGGGATCGAACACGCGACCTCCAGGCAATTAGCCACCGTGCCCCCCCCCCCACAGACCGGTGGATTACACAATATGTGTGGGAATGAAATGGTGGCACTCATTTTAATTGGTAACAAAATTAAAACAATGGATTTTAATTGTCTTCTTGCATTTTGGTTTTGATTCCATTTCCACTGATCATTTTTTTTTCTTTGCCTATTTGATTCGATTTCCATTCCTACTTAAATTGATCCTATTTTGATTCCATTCCAATTTGATCACATTTATTCCATTACCATTGAATTTTTGTCCCATTTGAATCCATTCCTATTTAATCCTGTTCTGATGCCAATCCAGTTTGATTTTGTCATTATTTTGATTCCATTCCTATTTGATTCTATTTTGATTCCATTCCTATTTGATCCTATTTTGATTCCATTCCTATTTGATCCTATTTTGATGCCATTCCTATTTGATCCTATTTTGATGCCATTCCTATTTGATCCTATTTTGATGCCATTCCTATTTGATCCTATTTTGATGCCATTCCTATTTGATCCTATTTTGATGTCATTCCTATTTGATCCTATTTTGATTCCATTCCTATTTGATCCTATTTTGATTCCATTCCTATTTGATCCTATTTTGATTCCATTCCTATTTGATCCTATTTTGATTCCATTCCTATTTGATCCTATTTTGATTCCATTCCTATTTGATGTGATCCTATTTTGATGTCATTCCTATTTGATCCTATTTTGATTCCATTCCTATTTGATCCTATTTTGATTCCATTCCTATTTGATCCTATTTTAATTCCATTCCTATTTGATCCTATTTTAATTCTAATCCTATTTGATGCCATTCCTATTTGATCCTATTTTGATTCCATTCCATTCATATTTGATGGCCGAATGGTTAGCGTGCGTTGTATCATGAGGTCTATCATTGAGTCAACTGGCGAGGTTTCGATTCCTCGGTTACAAGTGACAAGGAGTAGGATCGCCTGTCCAACCTCGTGGGTTTTCTCCGCGTAAGTGAATTATTTAAATAAAATTGAACCATGTGTTAGTCCCAAAATGGCCTAGTTTTATCGAGTGAACATTAAATCCCACCCCTCTCTCTCTCTCTCTCTCTCTCTCTCTTATTCATATTTAGTTTCTTCAGTGGGAAAGTCACCTTATGCACACATCCGTTCTAAAGCAATGTCCTGTAGCATTACTGTTAAAATAGAAATTAGAAGAAAATTGTTCACCTTTCTTCATGTAGCCTACTGAGGTTGAGAGAAAGGAAACTGTTTTATTTAAAATATATATCATGCACGCAATCGATAGTATGTTTTTATCAAACGAGGAAAATGTTTGAACTTTCAAATAGAACAGGTTAATATGATATATAAATAGTTTAAAGATACATTATGGGAGATTAGTTAAAGAGCTGGCAGTTCGCACTATAATAGTTAAAAACTAGATAACGTAAAGGGAATTTGTTGAAAATTTCAGTTAAATTGATAAATTGACCCACTCTGTACCGAGATTTTAGCGATTGAATGTTCGGTCTATAGCCTCGATTA